AGGGGGGGGGGGGGGGGGGGGGGGGGTTCCACGACAGTCTGTTGATGACGACAGTCGTGATGCCAACGACGGAGATGGTAATGATGTTGACGGCGGAGTTAATGGAAATTGAAAAACAGGAAGAGGACGCCACGTATTGCTCATTGCCATCTCGAACCGTCTCTCTCAGGTGACGAAGGAATTGCTGTCCTTCGTTTGACGACACTGAATCGCAGCATAGACCCTTTGATCCCTCCAAAGGAGACCAGATTCTCTTTGAAGGTCTTAAAACCCATTGACTTCGAGTTTGTGTGGAGATCGACTGTAGAGGGTGGTCTAAGAGTCATGATCGGACCCTCTTTGCTGTCAGACAGCTTGCTAAGTTTCGTGTAATCAACGATGTTTGTTTCCTGACATGTTAGTTCGGACTATTTGCCAAAGGTGAGACATCTCTCGATGATGCTCAGCCTACCGTGCCATGAGATACCGTGCCATGCAGGTTGAAACCTGTCACTGTACGCAACATTTGTTCATTCTCGCGCGAGCCATGGGGATTCTTCATCGTACGCAACGTCGATGTCTTCGGAATATTCAGTTCAGCTGATCATTTCCTTGCTGACTTCTTCGCATCGGTCTTCCACTTCGCTTTGCATCCAGGAGACGAACGTTTTCTTCTCCACTTCTTGGAGATGGTTTCAGCTGGTACACGTTTCCCAGAAACGTGCAGCAAAATTCTGTTTTATTTCATTGTAACTTTTCGCCACAGGATCCGTCCTGGGTACAAAGCGAAGTGGAAGACCGATGCGAAAAAGTCAGGGAGGAAACGATCAGCTGAACTGAATATTCCGAAGACGTCGACGTTGCGTGCGATGAATTATTTCATTTGAACTTTTCCCTGCGCAGCCTTTTTCATGGACCCACGCACTCACAACAAGACGCTCTTCGTTCGTGAATGCATCAGTGTCTGTCTGTGCCCCTGGCTCACGCAAGAACGAAAAATCATCAGCATCATCATCATGTCATCAATAACGGTCCAAACTAACATGTCAGGAAACAAACATCGCTGAGAACACGAAACTTAGCAAGCCATCAGACAGCAAAGAGGGTTCGATCGTGACTTTTGGACCACCCTGTTGTTGAAATGTGTGGATTAACCATTCAATTCTAAATAATACTATTAATTAAATTCATTTAAAAGAATGTTACTTTTTAAGAGTATTCCCATCCAGAAGTAATTTTCGACTTGTCTTTGCCTCGCTCGGTACTCGTCGAAAATGATACTAATCAGGTTATGAACCCGTCTGGAGGAGAATTGCTATATACAGGGTGTTAAGAAAGTTGTGTCCCACTGCAATATGCCAATAACCTCAGCAAAAATTAAAAAATCAGGAAATTTTTAAAATACACAATAACATCCAAGGGTGGCTATATTGAAAACTATTAAGTGATTCTAAATCAGTTAACTGTCCTTTTTGTTGTGTATAAAAAAATTTCCTGATTTTCACATTTTTGCTGAGGTTATAGGCATATTGTGATGGGACATAACTTTCTTAACACCTTGTATGTAAAGAAGAAAGTTTGTCTGTTTGTCTGTTCCTTTATGCATTAGAACCCTTAGGAGCCAGTGCAATCAAACTTTGCATGGCCTCCTCTTTCATCCAGGGGAAGGTCAAGGGCTATGTTTCAATCCAATATTTATACTCCCGGGGTACTGTAATGTCTGGGATGGCATTGAGAGGAACGACTGACTCCTGGACTCGGTGGTGCAGTGGAAGCACACGCGACCAGCGATCAGGAGGCCCGGGTTCGATTCCCGGCCGTTCCTTGCCTTTTTTTCGTCCTTTCATGCCATCCAACTCACCCCTCCCGGCCACCTGCATTACAGTACCCCGAGGTAATCCCATCGCTGGATCACTACAGCAGGTAGTAAGTAATATTCTTTTAATCAAGTTTTCATCGAAAATATGTTTCAAAACGATAAAAACATTTTGCCAATAAGTTTTTTCATTCCAAAATAATTTAGAAATTATTCAAAGCGTTAAATTTTAATAAAAGGGAAAGGGGTTCGAACGCATTTTGCGACACCTAAGATCGGTAACTTATTGGAAACCATAAGGCTAACGTTCCCCAATTTGTCATGCATGAAATATTGAATTTCCTCAGGCAACGCCGGGTACAATATAAATTAGTTCAATATAAATTAGAGAAATTTCGAAACACTGCATCTGACAACAGGTCGTCTTCTGCTGGAAGGAGTTCACCTTCGTTTCATTGTTCGCCTGTTTTCCCGGTCAATCCACTCGTCTCGCTTCTTGATTGCCGTCTTTCGTGGCATCTAGTATAGAACAGGAGCAAATTATTACTGTGGGGGAGGGAGTGGAAGGAGGAGTTGGCGGAGATGTCTCCCCCACGCGTGATTCTTGCTATAAACGTATTCATATCCCCGAAGAATTAATTTCCTGCTAGTCATTACATTTATTTCTTCTTCGAAGCCCACGCACCGAATCCCATGTTCCTGCGGGATTTCCACGACAATCTCAAATCATGTCAACAACAGGTACCGGCACGTGCCGTTTCCCTACACATGCCGTTTCCTCGTACTAGTATGAGAATGCGTTCAGGAGACGGGAAGGGGAAAGTTATCGTCGTCAACCCTGTCAATTGATAATGGGCTCAAATAGCATCCGCCATTGAAGGGGATCCTCGATGACTCGACGGGCATTCAATCTTGGGCTTCCTTTCTCTTTTCACCGACAGATATACAGGCCACTGCCCGGGATTGCAGCTCAGTGTTGGCCGATCATACGGGAGAGCAACTGAAGAAATCCTCCAGGTGAGAATTGACATTTTAGATTGATTTACCCCGTTACCACTAAAAGGATGAGATGACAAGAGCCTTGATTTTGCATTTTTTTAAAATGATGTTTAAAAGAAAAAAGAAAAAAAATTTGGATGCCCTCCTCAGGAAAGACGCAAGAAGCTTGGTCTCGAGTCAAACATGACCGTACCAGAATCGGAGGGGGAAGAAAGCGAGGCGAAAGGACTGCATTCGACCATGCTCGACCTGGAAATGGGATCCAGGCCTGTCTCTGCGTCCGGCATCCGCCCTGCAATACTCGGCTTCACGGGTGAATTTTCCTTCGTTTTATACACTCGTGCTCGGGTGTGTTGGCGGGATTCTGGCCAGGACAGCAGAAAAGCAAGGAAAATGCGTTGGCGGTAATATTGTGGGATTTAAAAGAGGGCTAAGCAGCTTTAACGCTGAAAAGGACAGCCTGATTCCGCTGATTTCATACCCCCGCCTTTGTTGCTATATTTATCCTTCAAAGCATATTATGCAGAAATAATATTATTAAACGCCTATGCACCTCTTTTATTTTGATGCCCGAGGCCCTCGGTCGCTTGGGAAGAGTCTATGGCTCTCATCCCTGGTACCCAAAGTTTCCGCCTTTCTTAGAATCAAACTTCTGACAGGCTCTCTAAATGAAGGAGCACATATTGCGTATTCCTGGAATTTATCTCAATTACTAGTATGTATGTATAAAGAATACCAAGAATCAATATCTCTGCAGCAATAAAGTTCCTGATAGCATTTCCGCTGCACATCCATGCTTTCTTTCTGATTCTATGTACATAAAAAAAAAACACAAATTCAGCTCCCGCCAAAGCATTATAAGTGACCTACGTGGGGTCACCTCAAATATTGAGCAGCAACTTGATTTTCCATGCAACCAGAGCAAAGGTTTCGGATTGTAGTGAGATAAACAAAAAAGAAGTTTGAATTAGTTTGTTAATGAAATGATTGTCTTGCTAAGAAACAATTCATGTTAAACCTTTCATGAATGGAATCGGAGGTTCTGATTCCTCCAATGTGCTGTTGCTAAGAAGAGGCTGAGAACCGCTAATATGGAGTGACTAATTTCCTGCTGTCTTTGCTAAAAGGATTCATCCCGGGGCTGAATTTCCGCCATGGTGAGACATACGGGAAAGCGGCAAACAACTGCCTGAAAGAGCTCTTCAACCGAGCCCAACAACGACTGCGAGCACAAGATAAGAGTAAGCGGTCAGCCAGCGCGCCGCCCCCGCCTCTCCGGGCTCTTCGGGCGCAGGAGGACATCAGGAGATGCTTGGATCACTTCTTCACTGCGAGGGCGAACAAAGGTTCGGTATTCGTCCCGGTGAAATGGAGAAGAGAAAACGAGGGGCCGTTGTCTGCATGATTTCGGCTGTGGGCGGAATGCCCAGGGATTTTTCCGCTGAAGGAGCTTTATGGGGCATGCAAGAGTGAATGGAGAACTCGCAAGTGTTGAATGTAAATCATCTGGCAGAAGTTCTGCCATTTGCAATGGCGTCTTTGCCATTTGCAATGGCTTTTATACTCAAAAACAGGCACCGGGGATACTTGTTCTTGTTCTGCGAAACGGTATAGTTTCTAGGAAGCAGCCATTCAGCGATCATGTCTCTTCTGTGAAACGCCCCCAACCCAATCACGCGACATTAGATAGCGTATATACAGTATACGATACTGACGTCAGTCCTACAATGTTACATCGTCGAACGAGAAACTGCAACAGCGGTGGCAGGGTAGGCGTTATGTTCCATTTCATTCATTTATTTAGTTATTTTGGATTCCACCACCATTCGTGAGGAGTTGATCGATATCTCTTGAGAATCCCTATGGAGATGTTTCTGAGATGATGCGCACTTATTAAAGCAATCGAGGGTTATTATTCAAAAAGAGCGATTCTGCACAAGCCAATGGGTTGAATATGATCAAATTCGCGCAGATAACCCATGACAGCATGCATGGGTGGAATCACACAGAGATCAAATGTGAGGCAAGGCATTTGGGGACTACGTGCCGCAAGCATCTGTTGCCTTTCTGCCACTGTGAGCCTTAGGTGAAAACTGGTCTGACCCGATCATCAATTTAATGTGAGCTAGGTATTGTGCTACGTCTCCGTAGCACCATACACTTTTGATAAATTTCAAGGAAAGTTAGGACCATTTCCCCATTTCAATAAAGGAGTAAGATTTTATTCACCTTTTCTCGTTAAAGTTCCAGCCTCGAGAATAAAAAATCATTCATATTAGTCGAGTTTCGGCTATACTACTCTCCTTGGATCGATTCTGTCTAATCCATGCATAGTGACTTTACAATTTTATTACGTTTATTAAGTTTATTACGCCCGTGAGGCGTATAAATAATTAAGCTGAAGATCATGGGGAAGAAAACAAAGGAATCCGTGAATAATGAACAGCAATCACCAGCCATATTAGAACGATAGCAGAGAGGATACAATACTGCTTGCAATTCCAAAAGCATTTCCTTTCGGACCTATAGATAGATTCTCCATCCTCCCTACAGCATGGCTGTAGGGAGGATTCTCCTAAGGAAAAGATTCTCCAGATATTCCGAGAAGCCTTGTGGTTTTTCCTTTACTTTTTCTCCCCCACTAGTTATGCCGTAGCAAGTATCCCTTCGGGCTTAAGGAATACTTGGAAAACCAAGGTTCCAAGAATTCTTATCCATAGATAGGGTCCTATCTATAAGGAACCTCAGCCAAACAAGAACCCAATTATAGTAATTTATTAATTTTTTTTTTCAGAACATCACAATATATCAGAAAATGACTCATGTAACCCATAGGACATAATAACTAGGAACTGAACATCAACATATATTTTTAATGATAAATTCAACTTATAGAATTCAAATAAATCATATATTTCCCGCAGGTAATACAATTAATTTCCCGAAAAAAGACGTTCAAGGAATCTTTTTGTTCTCCTGGTGAAAATTCGCGACTCAAGAGAGAAAACTCAGACAGAAGAACCGGATTCCTCCACTCTATTACTGCCCGATTTCTTTTCCTCGTCAGGACCTATATTGTCCTAGGTCTCAATTGCAATTTTATTACCTTTTTATTTTTGGCAGCACTGGGGCCGAACTTGCGAGATCCGATATCGGGCTACACGGGACACGTCCCCTTCCAGCGAAGTTTCACCGGCAAGAACTACTTGGCTGCAACTCGAGAGGGTCGAGAGAAGCACGAAATGCTGAGGCTGCGACAGGAGAAGGAACTTCAGTCGACGACATCCTCGCCTTCGCCTTTACCCAATGTGCATCCGCGAATTCCCGATCAATTTTATGGAGACGGCTTCATGGCTTCTCCTACTTCGCCTGTCACGGACGCGTCCGTCGGCTGGCGCGATTGATTGCCTTTCGTCAAGGTGCTGCTTCGACATGTGATTAGGTCAAGATTCCCTCGGTTTCAAATCTTCGCTACGCTTTCCTGCCGTTCGGAGCTATTCGCTACGAGGGTACCCGAATGAGGATCTGAGACGAAAAAAAAGAAGAATAGGCCTGGCTTCTAGTTACTATTGAGCATCGTCGTCTTATTCCTGTTGATTGAAGAAAAGATATTTGAATTATTAACCAATCGATTAGCATTTGAAGATTTTCCTGTTGCGTGTTACTATATATCTTTCTTGGCATCGTTACTTATTGAAATGCTTCCACGATAGTTATTCTAACCCGCCAAGACAGCTTCACTTGAGTGCGATTACTGATTGCAAGCCCCAATACAATATTCTTTGCATTCATAAATGCAAAAAGGCAAATGTTGCGGTTCGACGAAGACATGCGAGTTAATAAATGTCAATCCATCAAGCACATTTGGAAAGTATCTTCTCTGTATGCACAAATACGTGAGTCTCACAATGGCGCATAAACTTCTCCCAGAGCAAACATGTTATTTCATCTCGTGTTCTCGTTCCCCGGGTGAACTGGCCCTATAATTCCATTCTCTCTCTCACTCTCCCCACCTCCCACCTTGTTATTTCCTGTTCCTCGCCTTTGCGGGGTAATGGACTATTCTAGAGCAGAATGTCAGAAGTATCGGATGGCAAAGCAAAGCATTTCCGATAGCCTTCATTCAGAAAATCCCCAATCCCTGCAATGCGCAACTCCGGACAGTAATGACTTGCTTCCACCCCCCCCCCCCCCCCCCCCCCAAATAACGATGATTATCAACGGTTCCAGATCCGGAAATCGAATGTCATCGGCGATGCCACTAGATTTATCTTAATTGATCAAAAGATATGTTATCTGATGGAAACAGGTCGATTACGACGTACATAGAACCCAGGGGAATGTCGAGAGCAACATCAGGCATACCCAATATAAAAGCAGCTCATTCGCCACAATTAATCATGTAAGGAAAAAAATACTTGGGCCCAGTGAAGCACTCTGTTTTGCAAGGCAGAATCGCCTTCATCGAGGAAGATCTCGAGGGAACCGATCCAAACGGGTACGGCGGCTCTCATGCCTGCATCGAAGACCCTTCGATAAATCTCCGAAGAACCCAATACTTCCATGGGATTCACCTGATCATGAGAAAGAAAAGGTATGTGAGCGCTCCGCGATCCGAACTGACACTTCCACCTCTCAAGTGGAGTAAAACATTCGAGAAACGCATTTTGCTTCCATGTACGAGAACAGCGTACATTGTTGGGTACGAAATCCCGCGAGACCGAGCGCAACTACCGTCGTATCCATTCCTCTAAAAGGGGGTGGATTTTCAATCCACCGAAGTGAAAACAAAACTTTCCTAGACGATTTTGAGAATGTAATGAAGGTCCACATTCGAGTCGTCCCGAAGGACCTATTGTCTCACCTTGAAAGACTCCAGATGGCGAGAGAAACACGTCCAATACAAGTCTCGAACTTCGGGAAGCTTTTCAAGCGGAAGTTCAGTACTCAGCATAAGAAGTGTGCCGATGTCCTTGAGGGGATTGCCCAAACGATGAAACTGCCAGTCCAAGAGGGAGATTTCTTTGTCATTTTCGGCGAAAAGGATGTTGTTGCCCCATAAGTCCCCGTGAGTGAGCGTCTTCAGAGCCGCGTCATCGCGCTCTGGGTCCATGACGATAGCACGGACGGTCTCGAAAAGCTCCGACCGGGACCTTTCCTCGAGGAAATCTTGGAGTTTCTCCAGCCTCTCTGTGGCGTAAGAAGAGAATTCGACGCTGGGATCCCCCATGTCGGGGAAAATTTCGTCCAGAGATCGTTGTTCGCGACGGGCCAAGGCGACGGAAGCAGCATGAACGAGGCTGATGCCTTCCAAGCATAAACCAATCTCATGCATCTCGAAGCCCACCCTCAAATCCTTCAGTGCGAACCCTTTCGCCGCCATATTCTCCAATATCAGGATTCTGGCCTTGAAATCGCCGCCAAATGCCCTTGGAAGGGGAAGTCGAACGACCAACTTGTCCTCCAACATCTTCCGCACTTCCAGATAAAACGTAATCTCGTGCTCGTGGAGACCAGCTCGTTCGACGATCTCCACGATCTCTGAGGATGCTGGCAGGGTCTTGATCACGAGTTCCAGTTCTCCGTCTTCAGTCCGCATCGTACAGGCCTGGATTGTGCTGAGGAAACCTCCCGAGAAACTGCTCGGTTCAAGGCGTTTTACCGACGCCGATGGTCCAAACTCATTGCTCAATAGATTCCTCACTGCAACCAACGTGTCCTCCGCCATCTAAACTTGAGATCAGTGAATAACTAGAAACAAAAAGTCAAACCAGCGAAATAAAGGTTAGCGTTGCAAGGCCTTGTGTCTTGGATAGATCCCATAAGTCTAGAGAAGACACAAAAGGGGGATTCCGACACATCTATTGAGGATTTACCAGTAAAATTGTATGCAGTCTTCATATTGCGCATAGCCCCAAACAAAAGTCTTACATAATTTATCCGCTATGGAGAAGAGAGACGTGAATTCTCCGCAGCACAGACTTCTATCGAACCCTGCTTTTCTTCAAATTCGATCATGACATGTCCTGATCTTGAGGTTTCAATAGCTGATCATGGGAAGATAAGCGGCTACAATAGCAAGGACACTAACGACTGCTTTTTATTTATTTATGACAGTTAGCTGATTGTAGTTGAAGCGAGTGAAACTTATCAGTTTGGGAGAGATCGTTCCAAGATTCGTCCACTTGCAGGAAAGGATTAAAGGAACCCAGAAACCACAGCATCCATCTATGCTTCAATCTGAGCAGGTACTTCAGGAATAACTTTTATCCACCTGGTTGGCCTAACGATCGTTTCACCTTTCATATTCTAAATCTCCATCACCAGATGAACCAAAAAGCAGCTTTACTGGGGTTGGCTCTTTACTCATCGGCTTTCCATCCAACCGATGGAATAGAGTTCCTTTGCTCGTGAGTAGTGAGTAGAATAAGGGATGGTGCTGTAGAGCAGTCATTCCCAAACCACCTTTAACTCGCATTGAACCTTCCAGCATCCAGTGGTATGCGTACTACAGTTTGGGAACCGCTGCTGTACAGGATAAAACCCTCGTTCTGGATGCAGGGATTAATGGTGACTGTCCGACAGCCGCCCTGGAGGGCAGCAGCCCACCCAGCCGCAATCGGGTTAACACTCATTCCCGCCTGGTGCTCGGGGTCATGGGATGGAGGTGTTCAGAGTGATGCGAGTCCCTTTTGAGGGTACCCATTGGGTGAAAAGGCGAAGGTAGCCTGATGACACATCCGGGCAGTTAATCCGAAAAAAGCTTAGTTCATTAGGAAGTCAACCTAATCGAAATTCCTACGTCTTCTGAGTATGTGTACGTACAGCGAGACACTTCCAGTTCATATTTGCAATATTTCTGTTCCTCAGAGGAACTTGAAAATATTCTTGACCCGGGCTCTAATGTATGTCGATAATAACCACCACACGTTTGGAAAGGTTCCTCGTACTCAAGCGAAAACCTGAGTATTTTCTCATGAATATTTTGATGAGATTTTGAGCGAGAATATCAATTTTAAAAAATGTGGTCGCACAACGACATAGGCAGGTGTATGAAAATCTACTTTGTGCAGCCAAACGTCTCGTCTCTTATTTTCAGGCTTCCCTCATACCTGTGATTTTTCTCCGTGACAGACTGGAGGGGTGGAGGTACCTAGCACCAGGGTTCACGTCTCCGTGAGTGTCTACATCTGGGAAAATTCCTTTCGGTGCGAGATCCGCACTTTATTTATACTGTAGTTAGAGCTTGTCCGCACAGCGCTTTCAGTCGTGTCTGTCGCGAGGCGCAGAAAGGTCCGAGGCAATTGTCTAGGAAGGAAAATATGTGATAGTACTTACAGTCGCGTGTTCGTGCTAAAATATTCCAGAAAATGCAGTCACGAAAAACCCGGTGAATGGGAAAAGACAAAATTCAAACACGTTTTCAATGAAGTCAGGCAGCACCTAAGGGAAATATACCGAATCACCTCCTCTTGGAGAAAGAAACCTGGGAATTTTGCTGGCGCCTCAAGAGAAATAACTGATGTTTAAATAACAAAGCCTAGAAACAAAAACAGTCCAGAAAATAATTAATTTCTCTCCGGTTCTGAGTTTTTCATAAATGCTAGGGAAAGATACCAGGAGCGAGACGCTGGATCTGCTCATGGGCCTCAGTCAAGTCCTGTTTGGCACTGTTCCACTCAATACTTGCACCGCAGATGGTGCCACCTATATTTCCCCATCGGTACATTGGTTGGCTACGACTGTCCGCGAGATGTCACTTACCTTCACGAATACAAGCACCGTCAGTCCCCATTTGTAGGTGGTGGTGGGCGGGTGGGGGGAAGCAATGGTCGGTTTTGCCTCCCTACCCCATCCCCAGAGGGAGGCAGGTGGGGTGGTGTGCTGAGCGTACAGAGTACCTACAGGAGATCTAAATATATTCTCTCGTTTTGGAGGATGAAAAAAGGCTCTCCCCCCCCCCCCCCCACACCTAACATCAAACTGTCTGCGCATTTCCCTTTCATTTACATGAAATAACGGAGAAAGTCGAGAAATCACATCTTAAAGGGCTGATTTAGCTCCATAGAGTTACAAATTGCACTAACCCAGGAGAGTTAATCCATGTGAATGATCGATCCAGTCCTTGAGGTTCAAGCCGCCTTGTAAACTGTTGACTCGGTAACGAGTTTGGGTTCCTTGGCAGGAGACCCAGGTTCGAGCCCAACCAACGCCTGTATTGATTGTCGAGTGCAAGCTTCGGCGTGCTTGGGGCAGACCCCCTGAGCACCTGGCACCCCTGCGTTAGGATGTGGGGCATTAAAGATCCTCGGCGATGAAGGCCGAACGGATAACGAATCCCTGGAGTAACGGCTAGGGCCAAATTGGGTCTTCCGAAGTTACTCGCGTTAGCTGACGTTAGAGG